TGGGCCCTGGCAAGTCTGCCCTACCTATTGGCGATGTGTGTATCCTGCGAGTACGGGCAAAGTGTGGGCGCAATGGCTGGCGCTGTGCATAACTGTGGGGAAGCTCACAAGCGCTGTGGAGGCGGGCTAAGGGTCGTAACGACGGCATGATGGGTGATTGGTGCGCTATACGGCCGTGAAGGGCTGACCGATCCTTGGGGAAGAGGAAAGGAGGGCGATGGGGTTTATATTGGGAGACTTTTGGGGTGGAAAGATGAAGGGTAGGAAAAGTTGTGTGGCATCACACCATGGTGGGAGCATCATCGTTCAGAAGTCGGAGGTCCTCGGTAGTTTGTAGGTACTTGGCGGTACCTGCATTACCGTGGATGCAAACACCTCAAACCTCAAACTGGCACGGTGGGGGCCACATGAAAGGACATGCTGAGGCGTGCATACTTTCAGATGAGACCTAGGTACAATGGCATTCAGAAGTCAGAAGGCACCTACCTCGACGCATCCTCATGGTGGTTGGAGTAGTTCTGCGCCAACTCACCACGACTCTGCACCGTACCGTACACGGCTGACACGTTGCTGTGCTGCAGACTGTCGACGCCCGGCGGCAGCTATACGGTATAGTAGTGCCCAACACGCTAAGGCGGCAGCAAAAAGGCACTGTTTGGACGCGCGTGGGAGAGAGGTGTGTATAGACTGTTGTTTGGGTGCCAATGAAGAGAGTGGAGGTTGTTGTTACATGGCCGAGAGTCGCGATGGGTCAGTACGTCCAGAGGTCACAGGCAAGCTGAACAAGTGACTTGGGGGGGGGCGGGGGGGGCGGTACCGGTACCTCCAAAGACAAGCACACCATCCTCAAAGCGCGGTTCACACAACGGGGGACAAGGGCGGTGCAAGTCATAGCAGGCAGAAGGAGCAACTTGGGGCTGGCACAGTCCTTCAAGTCATCAGCCCCCATGGTGGTGGTCATGGTCGTGGTGGTGGTGATCGTGGTCGTGGTGTGCGTGATCGTTTCCATTGTTGGCAAATGGGCGCGCGTTAGCTAAGCAGCTGGCACCGGCGACTTGATTCGCATTCAAGGCCCCCGCTCCTGCTGCCTGCTTAACCCCAAGCTCTCCCTCACCGCTGCCAGCCCTCCATCCCTCTACTCCTACACTACACTACACACACGCACGCACGCACACACGCA